GTCCCACTTTTTTAATGCAAAAAAGCACTAGATGCAAGTAAACAAACAGCCCCTAGTCACTCAAAATATTTAACATTTCTCATGAGTCGCTGATGTTCTAAGGGCCTTGCAATTTGGCGCCTGAATGGAAAAAAATGTTTAAACTTGTGGTATCAAATTGCCACGAAAAAACCATGAGGTATCAAAGTCAAAAAAATTATAAAACTTTTGTGTAGTGTCAAATAAAACTTCTGGGTATCAAAGTAAGAAAAGTTATAACTTTAAGGTACCAAAGTGCAAATATACCTACATTTAGAAGTGAAACCTTGCACTCTTGCTTTATTTTGTTATTTATCTAAATTTAAATCTATTGTCTAGAGACATTTGTATTTAAAACCAAAATTTTACTCCCATCTACTTTAGAACACACAGAGTTCTTTATATATTCTCATACACCTAGGATACAAAGTTTATTTACCTTGTAAACTAATGTAGAACACACAGCAGACATGTTTATGTCAAAGTGGGACAGTCGCAAGCCCAAATGCGGGCCTGGTCGAAGAAAATAACATGTTTCGAAGAAACGGCCGTAACTTTCAAACCGTACGTCGGAATTGAACGAATTATATATGAAAATCGACTATCTCGACGAGACGGAGCCATCCAAACCCATCGCTTTGGGTTCGGTTTGCGTTCTCAGATTCGCCAAATTCCTTACGGTTTGAGAGATAATTACAATTTTGTCCTTTTTTACTATTTTTAGTAATAATTTAGGAGTCTGTTTTGTTTAGGAAACAAATCTGATTTGATCTCAGATTTGACCGGTGGACTTTCCTATTCATAAGGAGTCTTTTTAGGAGTTTTAATGTTTTAGGAATTCTTTACCATTTTTGGTAAGTTGAGAGTCCTTGTAGGAATTAGAGTCCTTGTAGGAGTCTTGTTTCTTTTTCTATTTAAGAAGAGTCTTGTAAGCCCTAGAGGCATAACTTTTTATTAATAAAATTTTGTTTTTCCTCAATATTTCTTCGTGGATTCGAAGCCCTTCGTGGAATCGAAGATCATTCTTTGTGGATTTAGAGAACACCCTTGGTGGATTCCGAGGTTACAACTTCCGCGCTGCGTCAATTGGTATCAGAGCCTTGTTCCTCCGATCCGATGGCAGGTGATGAAGCCCTTATCTCTCGAACTGAGTTCGACGTGCTAAAGGCCGATGTCAATCAGATGAAGACTGTCGTGGAGCGAATAGCAGTGGCAGTAGAGCGTCTGGAGATTGCAGGAGATCGAAATCGCGTTGATGGTCGCCAACGACGTGAACCGACTCCGTATGAAGATTCCGACAGCGAGGAAGATCACTATGCACCCCCACGCCGCGGTGTTTATCGCAGAGACCGACGACAAAGGGATAATTATGACGCTGGAGGTTTCAAGATGAAGATGGATCTGCCATCTTTCAACGGGCAACTTCATATTGAAGAGTTTCTCGACTGGATTGCAGAAGTAGAGAGGTTCTTTGAGTATATGGAGATCCCTGAAGAACGTAAGGTTAAATTGGTGGCCTACAGACTCAAAGGTGGAGCTTCGGCTTGGTGGGAGTCTGTTTGTCTGAATCGATCTCGTCAAGGAAAGCCGAAGGTCGATAGGTGGGAAAAGATGAAGAAGCTACTGAGAGCCCGTTTCTTACCAAGTGATTATGAACAAGTTTTATTTGGGCAGTATCAGAATTGTAGGCAAGGTGGAAGAACTGTGGATGAGTATACGCAGGAGTTCTATCGACTGTCATCCCGCAACAATTTACACGAGAGCGAGGCGCAGCAGATGTCTCGATACATTGGGGGATTAAGGATAGCGATTCAGGATCGTGTATCTTTGCAGCAGACCTATACATTGGCAGACACGGTTAGCCTAGCCTAGAAGATGGAGCGACAGCTTGGATGAAATAGTAAAGGATCGTGGGCAGCTTCTGACGGTTCGCGCACGAACTTTAATCGTGGTGGGAATAAATAGTCTCAAACTGTTCCTGATCAAGATTCTACGACAGAGAAGGGCAAGGGGCCAGCGACAACCGCAGCGAAGAAGCCTACTCTAGCGAACCCTTATGCCAAACCTGACCCGATCAAGTGTTATAGATGCGGACAGCCTGGTCATCGTTCCAATCAGTGCCCTAAAAGAGGTACTGTGAACAAGGTGGATCATAAAGATGAGGATACAGACCGAGACGATGTTGAAGACTATGATGATGGGTTGGATGCTGATGATGGGGAACAACTCTCATGTGTTGTGCGGCGACTATTGTTGGCTCCAAAGGCAGAAGAACCACCACAGAGGCATAATATCTTTCGAACGAGATGTACGGTGCAACAGAAGATCTGCGATGTCATCATTGATAGTGGGAGCAGCGAGAATATTGTATCTCGGCGCATGGTGGAGAAGTTAGGGCTGAAGACGGAAAAGCATCCCGCTCCTTACAAGATCGGCTGGATTCGCAAGGGTAATGACGTACAGGTTGATGAAGTGTGTCGGGTATCCTTTTCCATTGGCCGAACTTATGTGGATGAGGTATTGTACGATGTAGTAGAGATGGATGCATGTCATATGTTGTTAGGCAGACCTTGGCAGTTTGATGTTGATGCCACGCATAGAGGAAAAGATAACGTCTACATCTTTAAGAAGTATGGTCGCCAAATTGTGCTCAAGCCTCTAACCGAGAAGGGACCTGTCAAAACCATTGTGGCTGAAAAGAAGAATTTCTTGGTCGTTGACAATGAAGACTTTATGAAAGATGTGAAGCAATCTGATGAGATTTATGCCCTTGTAGTTTCGGGAAAAGAGGAGTCTGCCACTGTCGAAACTCCACATGAAGTACAGACCCTCTTACAACAGTTTGATGCAGTTATACCTGATGATCTTCCTTCTGAATTACCCATGCTTAGGGACGTTCAACATCAGATCGACCTTATCCCTGGATCCCGACTACCAAATCTGCCACACTATAGGATGAGTCCGAAGGAAGGAGAGATTTTGCAGAAGCAGGTGGATGATCTCATCTAGAAGGGCCTTATACGACCTAGCATGAGTCCGTGTGCAGTGCCAGCACTACTAGTCCCAAAGAAGAACGGAGAGTGGCGTATGTGTGTGGACAGTAGGGCTATCAACAAGATTACGGTGAAGTACAGATTTCCTATTCCACGCTTGGAAGACATGCTAGACATGTTATCTGGTTCAAAGGTGTTCTCCAAGATAGATCTCAAGAGCGGCTATCATCAGATTCGGATTAGGGAATGAGATGAGTGGAAGACTGCCTTCAAGACAAAAGAAGGCCTGTACGAGTGGTTAGTCATGCCTTTTGGTCTTTCTAATGCCCCTAGCACTTTCATGCGATTGATGAATCAGGTATTAAAACCATTTATCGGCAAGTTCGTCATAGTTTACTTTGATGATATCCTGATTTATAGCCAGAGTGGGGCTGCACATCTGGACCACTTGAGGGAGGTACTAACAGTTTTGCAGGAGAATAAGTTGTACATTAATCTGAAGAAGTGCAACTTCATGACCAGTAGCCTCGTGTTTCTAGGCTTTGTTGTTAGTGCAGAGGGTATTCATGTTGATGAAGAGAAGGTTCGTGCTATTAGGGATTGGCCTACCCCGAAGACTGTCAGCGAAGTTCGTAGTTTTCATGGCCTAGCAACATTCTATAGGAGATTTGTAAGAAATTTCAGCAGCATTGTAGCACCTATAACTGAATGCATGAAGAAAGGAAAGTTCAATTGGGGGGAAGAAGCAGATCGTAGCTTTGCACTGATCAAGGAGAAGTTGTCCACCGCACCTGTGCTTGCACTTCCAGATTTTCAAAAAGTCTTTGAAGTTGATTGTGATGCGTCCATCATAGGAATTGGTGGTGTTTTATCTCAGGAAGGGCGTCCAGTTGCCTTTTACAGTGAGAAACTAAGCGATGCTCGGCAGAAGTGGACCACATATGAGCTGGAATTATATGACATAGTTCAGTCTTTGAAGCATTGGGAGCACTATTTGATCTCGAGAGAGTTTTTGCTTCACACTGATCATCAGGCCTTAAAGACCCTTAATAGTCAGACTACCATCAACCGTATGCATGCTCGTTGGATTGCATATCTGCAGCGTTTCACCTTCGTTTTGAAGCATAAATCCGGGCAGCAGAATAAGGTTGCAGATGCACTCAGTAGGAGGGCTGGATTGTTGGTAACTTTGAAGGCTGAAGTGATTGCGTTTGAGTATCTTAAGGAGCTGTATGCGGAGGATGACGATTTTAAGAAGATTTGGGATGACTGTCTTCAAAATAGATCAGTTAAAGGCTTTCATATTCAGGATGGTTATCTATTTCATGGCGATCAATTGTGCATACCCCAGAGTTCGCTAAGAGAGCAGATAATTCGAGACCTTCATGCTGGCGGACGAGGACATTTGGGACGTGATAAGACAATTGCAGCCATTAAAGAATGATATTATTGGCCTCAGTTGAAGAAGGGAGCAGAAAGATATGTGCAGCGTTGTCCAATTTGTCAAGTTGCTAAGGGACAGTCTCAGAATACAGGATTGTATACACCCTTACCAGTTCCTGATGCGCCGTGGCATGATATTTCCATGGACTTTGTGTATTTTTGTTGTGGTTGATAG